GCATAAATATTTATAAAATATAAATAAGTGACAGACAATGTATGCTAAAATTCAATGACACAAGAGAAGCTTACTAAAGTTAAAAAACATGCTATTTGGAATGATATTTTATCAGTATCTCTTTGCTATATACAAACATACCTACATTTATATTTTACGCGCAAATCAGCAATTAGCAAAAAATTTTTTAATTCGGCTAAATATTGCTAAAATGTTTCACATTTGTTTTAATACATTTTTTCTTGTTACTAGTAGCAAAGATAAAATTAGTCTTTCTGCAAGTATGGAAATCTGCTAACGAGGAGGTCTAAGTGTTATTCATTTGTTGTTTAGCCATAAGTTTTTTAAAAATTAAACGAATTTAAAAATAATATTTTTTTTGTGTTTATAACGATAAAATTTAAATCAGCAATTTAAAGAAAATTAAATAAAAAAGATTAACATAACAAAATAAGTTTCTAAAAATTAAATGAAATTAGAAAAAAGATATGTTTCTTTTTAAATAATATAATACAAATATTTAAAGAAAATAAACTAAAAATGAAAACCTGGGATAAATTCCTAAAATTTAACTTAATAAAATGGTTTACTTTTTAAAACAATAAAATTTGAAATTTAAATTAATTAAGAAGATTACCAAAAATATATGTAGATAGGTTTCTAAAAACTAAATGGAATAAATAATATAAAATAAATAAATATAAAATAAAATAAGTTTCTAAAAACATTATTAAATTAAAAAATATACATATGTATGTATATTTATTTTGCTTTTTAAAACAAAAAAATCTAAAAAAAATTAAAAGAAAATTAATAAAAAATAATAATATAACTTAAATTGAAAAAAAAAATCGTTTTCCCAGGAGTCGAACCTCGGATCTCTCGAATGGGAAGGCAGTGCTTTTTTCACACGGAAATTGCGACTGTTGGAGCAGCGCGAACGAAATGATATACAAATTCCTTCTGTTTTTATCATGAGAGGCATCTTTTTTTGTAAGACTTTCTTGCCAGAATAAAAAAAAAAAATTTCAAACTATCTTGCCTACTGTTGTCTTTCAATTGCCTTACGAAAGACTTTCAACTATCTTAGCCAGAATTGCCCTGTTATTCGTATTTGATTATTTCGACAGTGTGGGAAAATTGTGAATTTTGAACGAACTTCCAAGTTCCTTTCGTAGAACAAAAATCAACAGTGAACATGGCAAAAAACTAACACCGATTTATCTCCAAATCAAATCGGAAATACATCACATCAGCTTTGTGCTGCCTACACACGAGACAACCATTGAAGCAACGTATTAAGGCAACCTGTTTTTCTCGTTCAATACACACGAGGCAACCGACCAAACCGCACAACCAACACAAAATAAAAAAACATTTTGATTTTCGGGTGACGGTTGCGGCAGCACGAATTTTAATGAGCAACAACTGCTACACACGGGGCATTCCCCGGTTGCTTCAACGGTCGGCTCGTGTTTAGTAAACCTTATAGTACTTTTCCAGAGGCTGGCAGACCTACAAAATTGCCTAAGTGTTTTGGATTTTTTTTATCTCCAAAGCACATTCTAACGCCTACGAAACATAATCTGTCGAATAAAATGAAAAAAAATATAAACAATTTGTTGGAATCAAAAAAAAGTTTTTACAAAGGCCTTTTAATTCACAGAGTGTGGATACGAAGCTTTACTTCTGGTAGAGAAAAATACATGTCTAACTGACAATATTGTTCACGATACGCACTCGATTTGTTGATTAACTGATTTATGTTTTAAATTAACCACTTAAATGCTAGCGATTTTTCAGCATAATAAAAAATTTACCTTTGCCTAGTTTTTAGATATTGTTTTTATTGATTTAGATTATTTTTTATTAAAAAACCACTTAAACCAAAACAAAAACACTAACAATTTTGTATACTCTTACATCTTGTTTTGCAGCCAAAAGCTGGTTTTGAGCCAGATACAGCATCACTCAGAGAGAAAGTCATTTTAAATCCGGGCGAAAAATGGCGCATTTTGAAAAATATCTCCATCATATCATTTGCATTCATGGTACAATTCACAGCGTTTCAGGTAAGTCAACGAAAAGGCATATTGATTCTCTATAAAATATATGTATGTACATACAGTATTGGACATATCTATAGCACCCCCATTGTTTTCCACTTATGTTTAATTATTTAGTTTTAAGAATTTTCAATTAAAATAGAGTTCATTCTCTAACAAAACTAATATAAAACCAACTTTAAAGCTTTTTAAAAGACTACAAAAAACGCAACAATTTTTAACCGAAATCTCAAAGTTTTTTCTCAGAAGAGTTCGAATTTTTTCGAGTACGCATTTTTATAGCCCATTGAATTTAAGTCTGATAATGTGCAAGTTTCAAGTCGCTACAAATTACCGTTTATTTTTTTAGAATTTTTTTTGTCCCATTTGCTTCTATATAACGAATAAACACAATTCAAAAAAAAATCTTAAAAAATCAACGGTAATTTTTAGCCGCTTAAAACCTGCACATTATTGGGCTAAAATTGACTGAGCTTTAAAATTGTGCACTTGAAATTTAGGTGGGAATTTGTCGCGTTTTTTTTGTAGTCGTTTAAAAACTTTAAACCCTGGGTTTATATGAGTTTTGTTATAGAATAAACTGTATTGAAAATTCCTAAAAATAAATAAATAAAAATGAGTGGCAAACAATATCAATTTGAAATGGGGGTGCTATTGTATTGGCCAATACTGTATGTACGCATTTACCTACAAACATACACAAAATCGATACATTTTATAGTAGTAAAAACAAAAATGCATAAAAAACAAAATAAATATATTCAGTCGCCAATGAAAAAGCGCACGCACTGGCCAATAGCCGCCCATACATATGTACATACATATGTATAATTTAAAAACCAAGCATACGCACATGCAGACATATAAACATACATACATACATACATACATGCATAACAAGCGCATATGTTAATACAATAAAAATTCACTTTCTCTTTGTTTTCCTACACACATTTCAATCTTTTTGTTTTTTGTTTCTTTTCAACTTTTTGTTTGTTTACGTACTTAACACAACGCTTGTCTTGTTTCCGTCAACCAGGGCACAGCCAATTTACAGTCCTCGATTAATGCCGAAGATGGCTTAGGCACTGTATCGTTGAGCGCCATTTATGCGGCGCTTGTCGTCTCATGCATCTTCCTACCCACACTTATTATACGCAAATTGACTGTAAAGTGGACGCTGGTCTTCAGTATGCTGTGCTATGCGCCGTACATCGCCTTCCAATTGTTCCCAAAGTAAGTAGTCAAGCAATGGATGTTCATGTCCATACATATGTATTCGCATTTATCAAACTTGAATTATCTAACGCTCCACATCTTATTTCTGTTCCTACATAGGTTTTACACATTGGTTCCTGCTGGTATTCTAGTCGGTTTGGGTGCCGCTCCTATGTGGGCATCTAAGGCCACCTATTTGACTCAGGTCGGTCAAGTGTATGCGAAGATAACCGAACAGGCGGTGGATGCAATTATTGTGCGATTCTTCGGTTTCTTCTTCTTGGCTTGGCAAACAGCCGAATTGTGGGGAAATCTGATTTCGAGTTTGGGTAAGTTGAAGATTAATAAATGGTAATTAAGTCAAGCGTAGGTAAAAAAAAAATATTAGGTGAAAAATAAGAAAACCCCTGTGCGGTAGTGGCTAAACGTGCGCACTGACAGTCCGCAGGGTCTGGGATAGAGCACAGTTCCCAATTAACATCAAAAGCTAAAGAAAAGAAAAAGCTATTTCTAATAGCGGTCTCCCCTGACAAAGCTCCGAGTGTATTTCTGCCACTAAAAACAGCTTCCCTTAAAAATACAATCGCTGTTCTGAGCCGCCGTAAAACTGGAGTTCCTTACCCTTTGTGTGAAAACATCAAGGTGCACGCCACAAATCGGGGGAGAAGCTCGTCGGCCAAACACTAACATATTGTGTAAGCGCTAATCTATTATAACATATTATTATTATTTAAAAGTCATAAACTCCGAAGCCGTTGTTGGAATTGATCCTCGATGTTGGCTAAATTTATCCACGATCCGCTACGACAGCTCTGTCTACATACTATGGTTTTACAGTTATTTTTGTTTGCCTTTCTTCATATTATTCTTATTTGGCTCTATAATCGTTCGTCGGTTTGTGCCCAGCCCAAAGCACTTCGCCAAGTGCCAGTCTCCTTTGCGAAGTGGTGTCAGTTGTATATACCCGAGTGCAGAGAGATCATGGATGCCGAGTCGAAGGATCTTTAGGTAGGTAGAGGCGGCTGCCGCCTTAGCGGCACACTTAGGCCATCGATAGAAGGCCCATTGTGTTACACACACAGTTGACACCCGTTCAATTATCCTCCCTATTGAACCACTTCGTTTCGCTGATGAATCTCAGCAGGCACCCCGCATCGGTATTTGAAACCTCCCTAAGGTCGGCCAGGAATGGTGAACCCAGGGCATTTACACAAGAGATGCAATACTGTTTCCTCCTCTTCGTCGTCCTTGCAGCTTCTGCAACATCTACAAAAAGGCACGCCGAGCCTTTCTGCATGCTTACCTATTAGACAGTGCCCGGTTAGGGCCCCAACGACATAGATATATCCTCTCTTCTAAGAGAGTATACCCTTCGTGACCGCTTCCGGTCCCATTTAGGCCAAGTCTGCCTGGAAATTCGACAAGACGTACTTTGACTCCATCTTTCTTCAGCTTGTTTGTAAACAAATTCACTAAGTTCATCTGTCATGCAGGTTCCCTCTATGTCCCTTTGACCAGGGACCCAATTGAGGTGAAGTCTCTTCTGCTTGGCCTTCTTCTGTAGATATAGGCGGCAGTCCAACGCAATCTTTGAGTGAAACGTGAAAGAGCTCAGAGCTTTGGTTGCAGCCTGGCTGTCACTAAAAAGAAAGGTGGCACACTATTATATACATATCAATATTTTTAAGAAACATATCGTATAAGTTATTAAGACTAATTTTCTCGTTTCCTTTTTTGCAGTGCTTTCGAGCGGAGCTCATGGCAGTGGCGGTGACAGCAATACCACCACCTCTGAAGATTCTCTGAAACACTGCGGTGCGAACTTCTGTGTGCAAAGTTCGACCGGCATTTTGAGCCGTCCACCAGATAATGAAATCTTCGAAATCTCTATGATCTACTTGTCTTGCATCATTGCTGCCGTAGCCATTATTGCAATCTTCCTGGATCCCCTAAAGCGGTATGGTGAAAAACGTAAGGGTTCACAATCGGCACAAGAATTGTCTGGCATGGAATTGCTGTCGGCTACTTTCCGTCAAATGAAGAAACCAAACCAGCAATTGCTCATTCCCATCACAATTTTCATTGGCATGGAACAGGCTTTCATCGGTGCCGATTTCACACAGGCATATGTTTCGTGCGCTTTGGGCATCAATCAAATTGGTTTTGTGATGATCTGCTTCGGTGTGGTCAACGCTATTTGCTCGATCCTTTTCGGTTCGGTAATGAAATATATTGGACGTCTGCCCATCATTATTCTCGGCGCTGTAGTGCATTTCACACTCATCTCCATTGAATTGTTCTGGCGTCCCAGCCCTGAGAATCCACTCATCTTCTACGCCATGTCCGGATTGTGGGGTGTCGGCGATGCTGTATGGCAAACGCAAATCAACGGCCTATACGGTCTGCTCTTCCGTCGCAACAAAGAAGCGGCCTTCTCCAACTACCGTCTCTGGGAATCAGCTGGCTTCGTGATCGCCTATGCATATGCGACAACTTTGTGTGCGCGCATGAAGCTTTATGTTCTATTGGCTGTATTGGCATTGGGATGCGTTGGATACACTATTGTGGAAATTCTGTATAGAAGAAAGGTATGTAATAAATGGCAGCATAAATACTGGAAGATCCAATTACTCATTTGTTTATTTATTCTAATTTAGCAACGCAAGCTAAAGAAGCAAGAGAAATTGGAGGCTGCCGCCAAGGAGAAGGAAGCGGCTGCCGCTGCAGCAGCCGCTGAGGCTAATGGCCCAACCGAAGTGGAAGAAACAGACGACGAGCTGGATGATCTCGAAGAAGATATTGTTGTGACGCATTTCTAAGTCCACTTCTAAACACAAATACACACACACTTACAAACGCGTGCTCAAACATGCATACAACTGCAAAACAAACAGTTGCGCCCTACATATCGTCAAACGTAATGTGCATATGTATGTATGTACACATGTGAAAGCTTCTCACATGTGAAAGTGCTTTGAAAAGCTTGGAACACTGCAGCTTTGGCAAGCTTATAAACAAGTGTGAAAGCACTTCAAATCATTAGGGCACATACACATACGATGTAAGCTTTTGTTTTGCTTTTTTTGTTTCGCCTGAGCGCTTTTAGTGTTGGCGTGTAGGTGTAACTTTTCTTTGTTTTTTTTTTTGTTTTACAAAACAAAAAAATGCTTTTGCATGCAAAAGGGCGAAAATGCATGCTGCAGTGAAGTGGTAGAGTGATTATTATGTTGCGGCGACTCAGTGTATGTAGCAATTATGTAGTAAAGAAAATGAATGTTGGACAAAAAAGTTCGCCTTTCTGCAGCTTTCCTCAGTTGTTACTTTGTTAAATGTATGTACTTATAAAACTTGCAATAGAAAAGGACACTTTAAAGTTTAAAGTATTTACATAAATATCAGAACAAGTAATAACAAATATAATTGAAAGTAATGTGTTATAAAGTTTATTAAATAGTTATTTAGTCTAATAAGTACAACAGAAACAACGCAGACATACTTACACACAAACACTTACATTTTATGTACACACACGTTGACATAAGAAGAACAAAGTTACACAAAAGCTCACATAAGCATGTAAAGTAAGTGCAATTTGTAAATAAATAACTAGATTGAAGTAATAAACAAA